ATATAAACATTATTTTTTCAATTTTTTTTTAAATTTAGCTCTTTAATTTTTGTCTATTTGTTTTTTCCTTGAAATTTAACTGTCTATGGCATAACTCACCTGCCATAGACAGTTAAACAATAATTTAACGGTTTTTGCTCTGTGGAGAAACATTTAAAAGTTATTATTACGATAAAATGCTATTATACTTTTAAAAATTCATTAAATCCTTATTTTAGTGGTGCCTTGCCCTGCGTACCATACTTTTCCTGTTAGCAATAGTTTATCTAACTCCGTTTGAGGAAACATTTGAATTGAAAAACGTGATTTCCGGTGGAAACCGAAAGTTCGTATTCAGTTAATCCAGGCCTTCTGCTCTAACTCCGTTCTCCAGATTAAAGAACAGAGACGGACAGATGACAGTTGGAGTTTATAAATCTACATTTTTTTTTTTTTCAAATCGAATAGGAAAATTACATAATACGGTTACCAGAGGTTACCAGCGAGCAGCTTAAGTAAAGAATTTTTAAAAATGTGTTAGATTGGTCACCCTTATGTAAGATATCCTTTCTAGTTATATAAATCAAGTACTAAAATATGATATAATAGAAGGATTACAAGTGCGGAATAATCTAATAATCTTAATGTTTGTTCTTATTTCTTGCCCAGGCAATGACGGACTTACCTGCTAGTTATATAATATAATAATTAATAAAATAATTATAAAAATCTCTCAAATATATAAATTATATCTCAAAGTTTAATTGCTTCATTGTGGAGTTATAATTTATTTATATTTAGCATTGTTGGAATAAAGTTCACAACTATTTTATTTACGAAGAACATTTTTTTTTTTAAATAAGACGAGCGGCTTTCTTGTTTACCATAAAATTAGATTAAAGGAATCATCCGTCAGTTCTTTACCCTAAAGTTGAAATTATTGATAATTAGAGAATTCCTACATTCTTATGAAACAGTTTAAACACAACATTCGTGCTTTTCAATGAAAATATCTTTAAAAATACTATATACTTACCTCTGTGTTGACAAAGTTCCACAGAGAAGATTAAGACAACTCTAGTGTATGTACTGTACATCCAGTGTACCAGAGCTCACTCGAAAATATCGAGTGACGTTTCCACTTTCCAAAACGAGGATCTTGTAGGGGTTTGATTTCGGGAAGATTTCGGGTGTTATGTGACGNATATTTCATTACACTAAAGAAAAGTATTGAAAGAGAATGTTTTGTCTAGCTAGCTCTTAAATTAAGTCCAAAACTTTTCAAAAATAGCACAAATATAGGCCTACGTAAATAACATGAAAGTCTTCCATATGATCCTTTTTTTTTTTTTTTTTTTTTTTTGCATCTATGCTGAATTTATGTACTGTACTTACACAATACACACGCAGTCTTACGAGATCCCTTAGGTTGTGGCTTTTATATTAAAAAAAGTTCCACAAATCCTTGATCTAATACATACGAGATAGGAATTAGAATATTTTTAAAAGAAAAATTGAAAGTTACGACAAATATTAGGATAGAAACTGATGATGATTATTTATTTTGATACATCTCAATGTAAAAAATAAAAACTGATGCAGAAAAACAGATTGCCTGTGGATGTCACAAAAATATGCAACTGTCAATCATGACGCATAAACGTACCGATAACGCCGTTGCTGTCTTTCATCAGTAACTGTGAAAAAAAACCGATTACAGTTTCTTTTCTAAAGTTTTCCTCATTATTGATATTAATCAACACAACATATTCTACAACAGTTACATGGAAAAGTTTGAACGATTTATTTGAATCTACGAAAACATTAAATATTTTTTTGAATTAATTTTTGTTTATTTATTTATATAGTCTGAATACAGTATTCGTCATTGTAAATTATTTTATACAAGAAAAATTAGAAAAAAATTAAAATAAGCAAATTTTCATATTTTATTAATATTTTATTAATATTTTATTGTTTCAGATGTAAGTCACATCTGAAACAATAAAATATTTTGTTTTTTTTATTAAATAGTATTCACAACCAACATAAAACTTATACATTTTTTGCTCTAGATCATGTTTTCAACACTCTCTTCATTGCAGAAGAAGCAAAAGTAAACTTTTTATTAAGAGAAACGATGACATCTTATGTAATAGTTTAAAATAGATTTTAATTGTTTGTATAATCATAAAATGACACATAATTGCTGTCACGCATCTGTGAGGGCGGATTCTGATGAAAATGAATGTGTCATATAACTTATATTCAATAAGCTGATAACGAACATGCTAAACATAAATATTCAATTCGTACCAGTACAGTTTAAGTAACATGTCAACTATAAGAAAAATATTTATATCGATTTAATCTTTATAATAATGGCAATAAGTAGAAGAAATATTGTAATAAACATGTACAATAAACTCACTTTAAAAAAAAAGAAAACATTAAAATATAGAACAAATTTGCATTGTTAGATTATTATCAGCTATATAAATTAGTCAAAAATTTACATCAATCTTACCTGAATTTTTAAAATGTTAATTTATATCAATACTAAGTAAACAGAACGTTTAATTAATTAAATATTTTAAACTCTTTTTTTAAAACAAATTATACAAACACTATTAGATATTTTTATAAGTTTAACTTAATTATTTTACTTTTAAAATTGATCTGTAGAAAAACTAAAATGTTATAAAAATTATTTTTGCATAAGCAATAAAGAGATAAAATCAAAAGTTATTTAATATTATATGAAAGTTTGCCTTTGTTTCATCTTAAATAATAAATATTATTTTTATAATTTTATCTCAACATCTAGTTAAGTATTCTTTAAATATATTAATTAAAAACAAAATAAATTATCGTTACAAAATATCAAAATAATGAACAATCAAATATCATATTGAAAACATTTATTTAATTTAGTATCTGATAAATATCAGATTCTAAGATAAATTTTACAAGTACACATTATTCTATTCTATTCATTATTATTATTCTCACTTTATTAAATTTATAAAAGCATGCGTAATTCGGAAATAAATACAAATAGAATTATTTTTATTCAATAATATTTTTCTATCTCAGTATCTCTTACTGAAAATTTTCTAAGGAACCTAAATTCTTCCTCTAAAATCTTTTACAAGCAGCTCATTAACGTTGATAAAGGAAGTCAAGCAGTTTTACCACTACAATATATAATAATACTAAACAAACTTGTCCTCGAAATGACAAATTTTATTGACATTTTTTTTTGTAAATAACTTTTTTATGAATAGATCAAATAAAAATTTTATTTTATAAAGTAAATAAATAAATCATGAAAATACTCACTATTGAAAAATGTTCTGTTTAACTAATTTATAGTTAGAATAATATTTTATTATTAATAATTAAAAGTTATGTGCAAAAAAATTCGATAATTCATAAATGTCTTTATAAATTTGTCAAGTGTTGTAAAAAAATTATAAATTCAAAGTTTTAAAAAAGTTTTATTTTAAATTATACTTTTTAAATATATAGATAGTTATTTTATTAATAAAATACTATATAATTATCAGATATTAAAATAAAAAAGTTTCTTCTATTCAATGATTTTAATAATATGTATTGTACTTTGTAGAGGGGGTGTAATATTATAGATCTTTATTTGTTAGAAGTAAACTTTTAATTATTATTAAAACAAGTTAGTAAAGTATAATTATTAAATATTCCTACTTTTAATCTTGTCTTAACTCTTAAAATATACTTTATTTTTCGGTACTATCTGTTGACGTACCACAGTGACTGACTGGATTAAATCACTTCAGTATAGATAGTGGGTCCTCGCCTCACCAACGGGCTCACCGCGTGAAGTTTTCCGGGTTTTATTCGCGTGTCTAGCATCTAAATCTTAATAAACTCAAATAATGAAATATATAGAAATTACAAGGTATAAAAAGGCAAAAAAGAAAATTTATAATGTGTAAAATATGTAGAGCGTAAAAATTGTAGTTACATTTACAGTATATTTCAACAACAACATAGCAATTTTCGATGTCATTGTTATTATATTTTTCCCTCAATTGCATATTGCATATTTTTGTGTTCTATTTACTTGTACATTTTACTTATAAAACCCTAAATAAATTTCAAACTATATACTGTGTACTTTTAATAAATAGGATTTAAAATTAATACATAAACACTTTGGAGAATCTGCTATATTTTAACAAAAAATTGCGTTATTACTCATAACAAAAATTATGTTTAAAACTCATCATTAAATACAGCGATTAATTCTAAAACTGTTTAATAAATTTTAAAGTGTATATAAATGAGATATTTTTAATAATTTATATCTTTGATACGACCCTTGTATAGTGTTTAAACAGTAATTAGTAACAAAGATAATATAATATTTATATTAAAATATTTTATTGAGATAGATTAGCGTTGCCTTTATGCTTATAATTCTAATGAATATATTTTATCCGCGGTTAAGAAAATATAATATAAACATTATTTTTTCAATTTTTTTTTAAATTTAGCTCTTTAATTTTTGTCTATTTGTTTTTTCCTTGAAATTTAACTGTCTATGGCATAACTCACCTGCCATAGACAGTTAAACAATAATTTAACGGTTTTTGCTCTGTGGAGAAACATTTAAAAGTTATTATTACGATAAAATGCTATTATACTTTTAAAAATTCATTAAATCCTTATTTTAGTGGTGCCTTGCCCTGCGTACCATACTTTTCCTGTTAGCAATAGTTTATCTAACTCCGTTTGAGGAAACATTTGAATTGAAAAACGTGATTTCCGGTGGAAACCGAAAGTTCGTATTCAGTTAATCCAGGCCTTCTGCTCTAACTCCGTTCTCCAGATTAAAGAACAGAGACGGACAGATGACAGTTGGAGTTTATAAATCTACATTTTTTTTTTTTTCAAATCGAATAGGAAAATTACATAATACGGTTACCAGAGGTTACCAGCGAGCAGCTTAAGTAAAGAATTTTTAAAAATGTGTTAGATTGGTCACCCTTATGTAAGATATCCTTTCTAGTTATATAAATCAAGTACTAAAATATGATATAATAGAAGGATTACAAGTGCGGAATAATCTAATAATCTTAATGTTTGTTCTTATTTCTTGCCCAGGCAATGACGGACTTACCTGCTAGTTATATAATATAATAATTAATAAAATAATTATAAAAATCTCTCAAATATATAAATTATATCTCAAAGTTTAATTGCTTCATTGTGGAGTTATAATTTATTTATATTTAGCATTGTTGGAATAAAGTTCACAACTATTTTATTTACGAAGAACATTTTTTTTTTTAAATAAGACGAGCGGCTTTCTTGTTTACCATAAAATTAGATTAAAGGAATCATCCGTCAGTTCTTTACCCTAAAGTTGAAATTATTGATAATTAGAGAATTCCTACATTCTTATGAAACAGTTTAAACACAACATTCGTGCTTTTCAATGAAAATATCTTTAAAAATACTATATACTTACCTCTGTGTTGACAAAGTTCCACAGAGAAGATTAAGACAACTCTAGTGTATGTACTGTACATCCAGTGTACCAGAGCTCACTCGAAAATATCGAGTGACGTTTCCACTTTCCAAAACGAGGATCTTGTAGGGGTTTGATTTCGGGAAGATTTCGGGTGTTATGTGACGGTGTCGTTTACGGTAACGAAGCGTGATATGTAAACAATTGGATGCAACGAACAAACTAGATAATGGTTCAATTGTGAATGTTAAAGCGAGGAGTGTTTGTAAGGATGTGTTGTAATGAAACTGACGAAATCGTCCAAATAACGAAATTCGTACTTCTTCGTCCTTAATAATATAGTGAAGCCTGGGTTGGGTCGTGGATTAACGACCTCGACGTTTTTCTATTTTTTCGCCACTCCTCTGTAAACACCATTGCTACTTCGTCAGTCTTGTTTCTTAGGTCATCGTCTATCTTGTCCATCCACCACTTTCCGGGTCTAAAATTTGTGCCGATTGATGGATTAATACCTACCTGGCGCCGAGGACAGCTTATTGCACTCCAAACTAGGACAGATGGAGTGTGTAATTTGTGGTATATCTGTTGCTAAATAACTAGCAATCCTGTAATAATAAATGTCGTAACTATATTAACAATTCTTGGATTTAAGCTCTCAGGCACTAGACTACTGTACGAAATTATTCCACTCGAAATTTAACGGACCTACGACATTCTAAACTATAAATTCCGAAATAAACGATCTTACAATGGAAGAATCGTCTTTATTGTTTCTGTAATAATAGTATCAAAACAATTATTAAAATAATTATTAAATTTTCAAGTGAACTATATGAATTATTAATTTTGTTTTTCATTTTAAAAATACTATATTTCTATATTGTATTTGAATAGTTTGTTATTAGTTTGTCTTCATACAGTTTGAAATACCTGTGTGTAGCTTATATAACAATGTTTTGTGTGGTAAGCCAGATAAAACATGAAAGGAAAGAAGGGAAAAACCGCTGATATAGTTGAATCTAAAAAGGGTATCATTAATATGGATGGGTGAAAATAAAGCATAAGTGTGCTTAAAAGCACTCATATTATTTCAAATTTCAGAAAGAAACTTTTATAACATTTACATGATAATGCTATTTATATTGTACAGCAGTGGTCCCCAACCCTCGGGCCGCGGACCGGTACCGGTCCGTGGATCAAATGGTACCCCCAAGGAACATTAAATTATTTCCATTTTATTTATTATGGTGTATTTGTCTCGGGTTTGTGCGACTTTTAATAGATGACGGAACAACGGAATAAACTGGACATAAGAAACACACTTCGAGTGTCATTGTCTTCTATTACCCCGGGATGGAACTGTCTCGTTGCAAAGAAACAAGCTCAGAGTTCTCATTGATTTAGCGTTCTAGTGATTTAAAATGTTAAATCACATTATATCCATTTTTTGGTGTAATTGTATTTTATTTTGAAGGCATGTATAAATACAGTTAAATTAAAATTATTAAATTAAATCAATCTAAAATATGAACAATCAACGTCCCCCCTCAGTGGGCCGCGGTAAAGTTATCAAACATTGACCGGTCCGCGGCGATAAAAAGGTTNACAGATAATGAGATGGAGAATATATTACTAATGAAAGATATATATATATATATATATTTCATTACACTAAAGAAAAGTATTGAAAGAGAATGTTTTGTCTAGCTAGCTCTTAAATTAAGTCCAAAACTTTTCAAAAATAGCACAAATATAGGCCTACGTAAATAACATGAAAGTCTTCCATATGATCCTTTTTTTTTTTTTTTTTTTTTTTTGCATCTATGCTGAATTTATGTACTGTACTTACACAATACACACGCAGTCTTACGAGATCCCTTAGGTTGTGGCTTTTATATTAAAAAAAGTTCCACAAATCCTTGATCTAATACATACGAGATAGGAATTAGAATATTTTTAAAAGAAAAATTGAAAGTTACGACAAATATTAGGATAGAAACTGATGATGATTATTTATTTTGATACATCTCAATGTAAAAAATAAAAACTGATGCAGAAAAACAGATTGCCTGTGGATGTCACAAAAATATGCAACTGTCAATCATGACGCATAAACGTACCGATAACGCCGTTGCTGTCTTTCATCAGTAACTGTGAAAAAAAACCGATTACAGTTTCTTTTCTAAAGTTTTCCTCATTATTGATATTAATCAACACAACATATTCTACAACAGTTACATGGAAAAGTTTGAACGATTTATTTGAATCTACGAAAACATTAAATATTTTTTTGAATTAATTTTTGTTTATTTATTTATATAGTCTGAATACAGTATTCGTCATTGTAAATTATTTTATACAAGAAAAATTAGAAAAAAATTAAAATAAGCAAATTTTCATATTTTATTAATATTTTATTAATATTTTATTGTTTCAGATGTAAGTCACATCTGAAACAATAAAATATTTTGTTTTTTTTATTAAATAGTATTCACAACCAACATAAAACTTATACATTTTTTGCTCTAGATCATGTTTTCAACACTCTCTTCATTGCAGAAGAAGCAAAAGTAAACTTTTTATTAAGAGAAACGATGACATCTTATGTAATAGTTTAAAATAGATTTTAATTGTTTGTATAATCATAAAATGACACATAATTGCTGTCACGCATCTGTGAGGGCGGATTCTGATGAAAATGAATGTGTCATATAACTTATATTCAATAAGCTGATAACGAACATGCTAAACATAAATATTCAATTCGTACCAGTACAGTTTAAGTAACATGTCAACTATAAGAAAAATATTTATATCGATTTAATCTTTATAATAATGGCAATAAGTAGAAGAAATATTGTAATAAACATGTACAATAAACTCACTTTAAAAAAAAAGAAAACATTAAAATATAGAACAAATTTGCATTGTTAGATTATTATCAGCTATATAAATTAGTCAAAAATTTACATCAATCTTACCTGAATTTTTAAAATGTTAATTTATATCAATACTAAGTAAACAGAACGTTTAATTAATTAAATATTTTAAACTCTTTTTTTAAAACAAATTATACAAACACTATTAGATATTTTTATAAGTTTAACTTAATTATTTTACTTTTAAAATTGATCTGTAGAAAAACTAAAATGTTATAAAAATTATTTTTGCATAAGCAATAAAGAGATAAAATCAAAAGTTATTTAATATTATATGAAAGTTTGCCTTTGTTTCATCTTAAATAATAAATATTATTTTTATAATTTTATCTCAACATCTAGTTAAGTATTCTTTAAATATATTAATTAAAAACAAAATAAATTATCGTTACAAAATATCAAAATAATGAACAATCAAATATCATATTGAAAACATTTATTTAATTTAGTATCTGATAAATATCAGATTCTAAGATAAATTTTACAAGTACACATTATTCTATTCTATTCATTATTATTATTCTCACTTTATTAAATTTATAAAAGCATGCGTAATTCGGAAATAAATACAAATAGAATTATTTTTATTCAATAATATTTTTCTATCTCAGTATCTCTTACTGAAAATTTTCTAAGGAACCTAAATTCTTCCTCTAAAATCTTTTACAAGCAGCTCATTAACGTTGATAAAGGAAGTCAAGCAGTTTTACCACTACAATATATAATAATACTAAACAAACTTGTCCTCGAAATGACAAATTTTATTGACATTTTTTTTTGTAAATAACTTTTTTATGAATAGATCAAATAAAAATTTTATTTTATAAAGTAAATAAATAAATCATGAAAATACTCACTATTGAAAAATGTTCTGTTTAACTAATTTATAGTTAGAATAATATTTTATTATTAATAATTAAAAGTTATGTGCAAAAAAATTCGATAATTCATAAATGTCTTTATAAATTTGTCAAGTGTTGTAAAAAAATTATAAATTCAAAGTTTTAAAAAAGTTTTATTTTAAATTATACTTTTTAAATATATAGATAGTTATTTTATTAATAAAATACTATATAATTATCAGATATTAAAATAAAAAAGTTTCTTCTATTCAATGATTTTAATAATATGTATTGTACTTTGTAGAGGGGGTGTAATATTATAGATCTTTATTTGTTAGAAGTAAACTTTTAATTATTATTAAAACAAGTTAGTAAAGTATAATTATTAAATATTCCTACTTTTAATCTTGTCTTAACTCTTAAAATATACTTTATTTTTCGGTACTATCTGTTGACGTACCACAGTGACTGACTGGATTAAATCACTTCAGTATAGATAGTGGGTCCTCGCCTCACCAACGGGCTCACCGCGTGAAGTTTTCCGGGTTTTATTCGCGTGTCTAGCATCTAAATCTTAATAAACTCAAATAATGAAATATATAGAAATTACAAGGTATAAAAAGGCAAAAAAGAAAATTTATAATGTGTAAAATATGTAGAGCGTAAAAATTGTAGTTACATTTACAGTATATTTCAACAACAACATAGCAATTTTCGATGTCATTGTTATTATATTTTTCCCTCAATTGCATATTGCATATTTTTGTGTTCTATTTACTTGTACATTTTACTTATAAAACCCTAAATAAATTTCAAACTATATACTGTGTACTTTTAATAAATAGGATTTAAAATTAATACATAAACACTTTGGAGAATCTGCTATATTTTAACAAAAAATTGCGTTATTACTCATAACAAAAATTATGTTTAAAACTCATCATTAAATACAGCGATTAATTCTAAAACTGTTTAATAAATTTTAAAGTGTATATAAATGAGATATTTTTAATAATTTATATCTTTGATACGACCCTTGTATAGTGTTTAAACAGTAATTAGTAACAAAGATAATATAATATTTATATTAAAATATTTTATTGAGATAGATTAGCGTTGCCTTTATGCTTATAATTCTAATGAATATATTTTATCCGCGGTTAAGAAAATATAATATAAACATTATTTTTTCAATTTTTTTTTAAATTTAGCTCTTTAATTTTTGTCTATTTGTTTTTTCCTTGAAATTTAACTGTCTATGGCATAACTCACCTGCCATAGACAGTTAAACAATAATTTAACGGTTTTTGCTCTGTGGAGAAACATTTAAAAGTTATTATTACGATAAAATGCTATTATACTTTTAAAAATTCATTAAATCCTTATTTTAGTGGTGCCTTGCCCTGCGTACCATACTTTTCCTGTTAGCAATAGTTTATCTAACTCCGTTTGAGGAAACATTTGAATTGAAAAACGTGATTTCCGGTGGAAACCGAAAGTTCGTATTCAGTTAATCCAGGCCTTCTGCTCTAACTCCGTTCTCCAGATTAAAGAACAGAGACGGACAGATGACAGTTGGAGTTTATAAATCTACATTTTTTTTTTTTTTCAAATCGAATAGGAAAATTACATAATACGGTTACCAGAGGTTACCAGCGAGCAGCTTAAGTAAAGAATTTTTTAAAATGTGTTAGATTGGTCACCCTTATGTAAGATATCCTTTCTAGTTATATAAATCAAGTACTAAAATATGATATAATAGAAGGATTACAAGTGCGGAATAATCTAATAATCTTAATGTTTGTTCTTATCCCGGGCATACCTGCTAGTTATATAATATAATAAATTAGTAAAATAATTATAAAAATATCTCAAATAGATAAATTATATCTCAAAGTTTAATTGCTTCATTGTGAAGTTATAATTTATTTATATTTAACATTGTTGGAATAAAGTTCACAACTATTTTATTTACGAAGAACATTTTTTTTTTTTAAAATAAGACGAGCGGCTTTCTTGTTTACCATAAAATTAGATTAAAGGAATCATCCGTCAGTTCTTTACCCTAAAGTTGAAATTATTGATAATTAGAGAATTCCTACATTCTTATGAAACAGTTTAAACACAACATTCGTGCTTTTCAATGAAAATATCTTTAAAAATACTATATACTTACCTCTGTGTTGACAAAGTTCCACAGAGAAGATTAAGACAACTCTAGTGTATGTACTGTACATCCAGTGTACCAGAGCTCACTCGAAAATATCGAGTGACGTTTCCACTTTCCAAAACGAGGATCTTGTAGGGGTTTGATTTCGGGAAGATTTCGGGTGTTATGTGACGGTGTCGTTTACGGTAACGAAGCGTGATATGTAAACAATTGGATGCAACGAACAAACTAGATAATGGTTCAATTGTGAATGTTAAAGCGAGGAGTGTTTGTAAGGATGTGTTGTAATGAAACTGACGAAATCGTCCAAATAACGAAATTCGTACTTCTTCGTCCTTAATAATATAGTGAAGCCTGGGTTGGGTCGTGGATTAACGACCTCGACGTTTTTCTATTTTTTCGCCACTCCTCTGTAAACACCATTGCTACTTCGTCAGTCTTGTTTCTTAGGTCATCGTCTATCTTGTCCATCCACCACTTTCCGGGTCTAAAATTTGTGCCGATTGATGGATTAATACCTACCTGGCGCCGAGGACAGCTTATTGCACTCCAAACTAGGACAGATGGAGTGTGTAATTTGTGGTATATCTGTTGCTAAATAACTAGCAATCCTGTAATAATAAATGTCGTAACTATATTAACAATTCTTGGATTTAAGCTCTCAGGCACTAGACTACTGTACGAAATTATTCCACTCGAAATTTAACGGACCTACGACATTCTAAACTATAAATTCCGAAATAAACGATCTTACAATGGAAGAATCGTCTTTATTGTTTCTGTAATAATAGTATCAAAACAATTATTAAAATAATTATTAAATTTTCAAGTGAACTATATGAATTATTAATTTTGTTTTTCATTTTAAAAATACTATATTTCTATATTGTATTTGAATAGTTTGTTATTAGTTTGTCTTCATACAGTTTGAAATACCTGTGTGTAGCTTATATAACAATGTTTTGTGTGGTAAGCCAGATAAAACATGAAAGGAAAGAAGGGAAAAACCGCTGATATAGTTGAATCTAAAAAGGGTATCATTAATATGGATGGGTGAAAATAAAGCATAAGTGTGCTTAAAAGCACTCATATTATTTCAAATTTCAGAAAGAAACTTTTATAACATTTACATGATAATGCTATTTATATTGTACAGCAGTGGTCCCCAACCCTCGGGCCGCGGACCGGTACCGGTCCGTGGATCAAATGGTACCCCCAAGGAACATTAAATTATTTCCATTTTATTTATTATGGTGTATTTGTCTCGGGTTTGTGCGACTTTTAATAGATGACGGAACAACGGAATAAACTGGACATAAGAAACACACTTCGAGTGTCATTGTCTTCTATTACCCCGGGATGGAACTGTCTCGTTGCAAAGAAACAAGCTCAGAGTTCTCATTGATTTAGCGTTCTAGTGATTTAAAATGTTAAATCACATTATATCCATTTTTTGGTGTAATTGTATTTTATTTTGAAGGCATGTATAAATACAGTTAAATTAAAATTATTAAATTAAATCAATCTAAAATATGAACAATCAACGTCCCCCCTCAGTGGGCCGCGGTAAAGTTATCAAACATTGACCGGTCCGCGGCGATAAAAAAGGTTGGGGACCGCTGTTGTACAGGATCTTATTTTATTTATACTATGTTATCATTATGGACAACACCGAGAGATTTACATTAAATTTTACGATTCTACGTAATAAGACCCACAGAAATATCGTTTGGATAGCTTTTTTTATGGGTCACTAATAAATATAATAAATTGATGCACAAAATCTTTTCAGCCGAAATTTTTTAGCTGGCAGTCCGAATTTTTTTCCGACCGATTCGAGTTAACTAGGTTCCACTAAAGTGATAAATTAACTTATAAAATTTAAAAAATTGTCTAGAGGCAAATATGTATTTTCTTAATTAAATCTTTCTTATTTCGCCATTAAGTATAAATTCGTTAGCAAAATCAGTTCTAGAAAATATTTAATTTTTATTGATTTTTACTCTTCCTAAAGAAAAAATATACGGTATATAGAAGATATTGTAAAATATATTATCCTGCATATAATTTAATACTTGATATTAATAAATACATATGTATAAACAAATTTACCAAGTATCTAGATCTACAAGTTCTATCTATATACCTTTATCACACGTATCTCAACTGTATGAAATAAACACAAGTAAAAAAGATAAATATGAAAGATCTAAACGTTATAACTAAGCTAAAGCAACATATTATTGAAAATTATTAACATTATTACATATATAAATAATGTATAATGGAAAAATTGAAGTAACTTTGGAGTTGATATAGCAAGACTTACAGAGTATCCTATATTTTATTAGTTATATTTTGGAGAACTAAAACAATTTTATTCAACCAAAATGACTTATTTTACACAAAATGATTTATCTGAAATCTTAAGGTTCAATATAACTGTAATAAAATTATTTCCTTGGGCATAAGTCAGTTGGAAATTTTCAAAAGTTTTCTATTTCTGTCGATGTTTTGTGAATTGTTAAAATTTCAATGAATGCCAACGGACTAAAGTGTAGTTTAAATAGGTGTTATTTAAAGATTTATCATTGCTATATTAATCATTATATAAAATCGATATTTACATCGTGTTCATTTTTTTTAATTCCTGATTAAAACATAATGTATTCCGAAATTTCTATTTCATAATTTAAATACAGATGCAAAATTTTCAAATCCTGAAACTAACTTTCATGAAAATTCATAAAATTTACACAATTTTTAAGTTAGTAACGTACAATATTTTTTATTTTCACATTTTTTCTATATTTTCTTACATGCATTATTATTTTTTTTTTTTTACATTCATATACACCGATAATCGAAGGCTGCGATAACACATGGCAACTTGTTTTTAAACTTCATATTTTATATAATTTTAATCGGAAGCATGACCGCACGTTGGTGTACCAGGTTCACCCCAAATCGTGTAAGTAGCAGGAAGCTTTTCACAGTAGCATGAAAATCGATAACAGTAGCCAAATTTGCCACCGTTGGTTAAACACAAATTATTGCAATAAGTATTTTTTCCAAGGTTCCAACAACGATATCTGCAATAATCTTCATTTATCAGATAACCATCTTTGGCTTGTACACCTAGGAAACGAAAACAAGTTATTCTCGAATTTAATATTTATATAATATAATGAATATTTACCGATTAATAAAACTGTCAAAACAACTATTGTTGCGGTCTTCATCTTGAATCGCTTCTAAAGAACTTATGTGTAAGACATCCTCAAGTCGTTAATATATAGTAATTTCAAATTAAGGAACATGCGCAATGAAAGGAATGCTACGTGATTTAATACATGGGGTCAGTATATGTTGTTCACTGCCTATAAGTATTTGTACACATGATTTAATTTAGAACAGATAAAATAAATTGCGTCATACCCTCATCGATTTGTCAAGCATCTACCTATTAGTATCTATTTCTAATTTGTTAATAGAGATACTGTATTTGAATATTATGTAATACAAGATGTGGTAAAGATTTTTTTTACAATTTCTCATGTTAATAATCACAAAAATTACATTAAATTTAAATTTTAAGAATGACTAAATCATGAACAAAATTGTGACAAGATCAACAGATTAAGATAATATTGGTTTTTGATAATTATTAAGAGATGAACTACAAGGTGATCGAAAAGTCATTGTGCCTCTAAATTAAAAACAATGCTGCATAGATGCCCAGCGTTTTTTTACTTTTTTTTATCATTCTGTAGTAACTGATAGTAGGCCTAACTGATGTTTCATTTTTTACATTTTTAAAATATTCTCATGGAGATGGTACTGTGCATACATGATAGAGCTTCGGTTACTTCTGATTATATTTGCTTATTAACTTTATGTTTAGTTTAATAACCAGCTGTAAACTATATATTAGTTCAACTGATTACTAATTAATTTGGCTAATTAATTTGAATACTTTCAGCTACAGTAATATTATTTATTTATTATTAATTCCTTTTATTAGATTAAAAAATATGTATTTTTATTCCTGGAAAAAAATTTTAAACGATCTGCGATTATTTTTTTTCATTTTCATACATTTCCGTTATATTCATATTTTATTTTTTATGGATATTTTTATAAATAAATTTTTTAAACGATTCTTTATAAGTTAAAGCAAAGTTTAAAATATTATGATTTTCATTGACTTGGATAGCTTTATAATTGTTCAATTTTAAATATATTGAAATTTCTACGAATAGACTCATAAAAAAAATAAAAAATTACATTTATTGTATAGGCAAGTGTAATATGTTATCAAAATTTTTTCAATATAAAAATATAATAAGAAATAATAATAAATGTTATTTCTTAATGTCACACGATCACGTTTATTTTTCCATTAAAATATCATTTGTTAAAAATATATTAATATATTCTGAGACAAGAATATTTTCTATAGATGTATCGTTCTTAATTTTTTTTTTAAATGTACAGTGTAATGTAATATAATAATATAACATACTATCATAAATTTTGTAAAGATTCTTCACGAATCGTATATTAAGGATCATATTATTATAGTAGTATTGTTTCCCTTAAAACGAATTTGTGATATTAACCAGATGTTTTTTAGGTAAGTAAATTACATAAATAAGTGTGAGTAAAAACTGCTCATAAAATCTAAAAGACACGGGCGAATTCTCTGTGCTTTTGCTTAGCATGTGCCTCATGCTTAAGAGAAAGTTTTGACTGTCAATATACTTTTTATATGAGAACAAATATGCCAGTAATGATTCATTCTAACTTGTTATATCGTCTGTGTGTGCTTTTAGATTGACAGCTAGCGGCTAGCCGTTTTAAGTCAGTGCGATGTTGCGGGAACTCGATCGCTCGCTCGTGTGGAGGTTTGCCCCAGCAAGCGAGCGCGCGTGACGTCATTCGAAGCATTTAGCACGGCCAGATTGTACCGAAAGCTTGCGGTACCCAATCAGCATACATGTATTGTGTACAGAGGCGGATCTACATAGGGACTAATAGGGTTTAACTCCTGGGCCCCCAGTGTCAAGAGCCACAAAAATTGAATTATTATCATAAAGTTTTAATACTTTTTAATTATAACATGTTTCATGTGTAGATATAATGGGCTTTATAATAGTCCATACTTTTTATTCACACGAAATAACGTTTCTTACTATTGTTTAGTGCTAGAGATATGGCTATTATTTTTATTATAACTTTCACATGCTCAAAAATTTTGGTCAGGACTCTGCTAAAAGATTAAATTAACTAATGGGAAAAATGAAGATAAATGTATAATAAAAGTAAAAATTTTGTCATATTGAAACAACAAATGCATATATAGTATGTGTAAGGACATAAATTTAATACAGATCGAAGAGAACTTTTTGGCTCAAAATACAAATCTAAATCTATTACTAAGAATAAATGACACAAAAACATTAGTTTATTCTCTGGCATATTTATTATCTTTTCTTTCATTTTTAATATTTAAAAAAAATGGTATCGGTTTTATTTTATAGGCTAAGTGTAATGTATTATATACATATACGTATATTTATTTATTTATTTAAGGTGAATGTTATATATATATAATAGTAACTTATACAATATATGTGCTATTATTTATAATATATATAGGCCTATATAATAAATATTATATATGTTAAGTGTAACATAATATATTAACTTTTCAGCCGATAAAATAAATTTTTATAGAATATAAATATTTTTAGTCTAGAAAATAAATTCTTGCCA